AGTTTACTTTTCGCACAAATATTTTTTAACTTGAAAATGGTGCCAGGATGACACCGAAACGTCGTTGCTCAGTTTTTTCGCTAATCTTTATTGTTAAACATAAAAGGTAAAAATATGAAATAGGAGTGAATCCAGTGCGGGAACAGCCTTAATAGTTCTAGTGGAAAACTTCAAATACACTTATATTGGTAGAATACCGTAAAATCCCACGTTAAAGCCCTGGGCTTATATAATTTCATAAGGGGTTTTTTGGTGGGCTCATGAATGAGGGCTTATATCTGGGGGGATATAAGCAGAAAAAAAATTGTTTCGGAACGACGAGATTAAACGTATCTGAGAAACGAATTAAAGCTAATATACCATTACATCTAGAGCTATTACTATAACTTTTGATTGAAAATTTTGATGTTTGTAAAGAAACCCAAAAGGAAAGCACTTATACATTGGATGGGCTTATATCCGGGGGGGCTTATATCCGGAATAATATCTTTGTTAGCAAATAGAAGGGCTTATATCTGGGGGGGGGGGGGTTAAACGTGGGATTTAAAGGTACTTAAAACTGGATGCACCTTACCTTGTCTGCCAGTGGCACGCCAGGCTGCAGAGGACGCTGCACAACCCCAGGTCTCATGGGGAACACACCTGGTTGTGCCCCTATTGGATGTCCTGGGGTAGACCACTGAGGACCTGGTTGTGGCTGTTGTTGAACTTGTGATGGTTGCTGTTGAATGGCAACTTGCTGTTGGAGCGGCACTCCTCCGGGCTGCAACTGTTGCTGGATAAGTTGCATTTGTTGCCAGGCTTGTAACATTTGCTGCTGGAGAACCTGTCCTTGAGACTGTACAGCCATGACTTGACCCGCAAGTACTGGGTCCTGTCCTCCAGCCTGGTGCAGTTGCTGTTGCAGCTGTTGGTATTGTTGGACGAGAACTTGTCTTTGCTGCTGCATTTGCAGGAACTGCTGCTGTAACCCCATAAACTGCTGTTGCATGAGAAAATGTTGGGCCTGAGGCGGAGGAACAGGAGGTGCTTGGCTGGGTATGTGGTGTGGCTGAACTGGGGCCTCTTTCACTTCAGCAAAGGCATCAGGTTTACAAGCAAGGTCACCTTCTTGCACAAGCACTTCTTTCTTACTTTCACTTTCCTCAAATTTGTTTTTATCATGAATTTGTACAGTTTCCACTTTTGCTTTCTGGGGTTCTGGGAACATCTGCTTTCCCTCGACAGGATATCCTTCTCCACTTTTGCACTCAAGGTCCTTTACAGAATCAGAGGACATTCTACTTACAACACTTTCTCCATCAGTTGCAAAAAGCTCCCTTCCAATGCCCTCTAATCCTTCAACGGTCTTTTCATTAGCAGTCTCAGTCTGTTCCACTTGCCCTTCTACAATATTTCTGTCATTATTTGCGACAGAGGTGCAATCTTCCTTCTTGTCTTCAGAACCACTGGTTTTACATTGTTCTTTGTTAGCTTGTACACAAGAAGTAAGGTCTTCACTGCTTGCAGAGGCTTTCTCTTGTTCACCGGCAACCATCTTAGACTCAGCAGAAACCTCAGCATTCTCTAGTTCGGGATTAACTTCAGATCTCATCAGGTCCTTCTTGTGATGGGTCTCTTGAAGGTTCTGATCATCCTGAGGGACAGAAGGAATCCTATCAGTCGTTGTCGTAACCTCGTTGACCAACTCATTTGCACTTTCGCTCTTTGTGCCATCTTGCTGGTTTTCACTTCCACTTCCAGGACCTCGAGACTCCTCAGGTATTTCTTCTGGAAGAACATTTGTGTTGCCTACGGAACCATGCATGCCATCATTGTGAGCTGGAGTAGCAGATCTCTTTTTCTTATCACCATCAGCATCACCACTGTAGTCACCGTTACCTTTTCCCATATCAACCTTTCCTGTTGCAGTACTCGCCCGAGAGGTGTTCTTTTGGGTTGGTTCCTTTTTCTGTTGCTGCATGATCATCTGTTGTTGTAACTGCATCTTGTATAGTTGTTGCTGTTGACCCACAAACTGTCCATCTAGTCCATAAGGCATTATAGGCTTCAAACCAGGTTGAACCATCGGAGTTGCCTGCCTCAGAGCAAACCTCTGCTGAGGAATTTCCAGGAATGGACCGCCAGTGTGAGTGCTACCACCAACTGGAATTCCTTGCTGTTGTTGCAATTCCTGCAGAACTTTGTCGTACTGAACTGTTTGCTGACCTAAATCCTGGCGCTGCTGAATACGTCTCTGGTATTCAGCAAACAACTGCTGCTGTGCCAAGTCAGGCATTTGGGGACGTATCTGTTGAGCAAACTGTTGTAACATTTGAGGGTTGGGAGAATCCACTGGAAGTATACCTGTTGGAACCACGCCTTGGCCACCCCCATTAGTAAGTTGCTGTTGGATCCAAGCTTGTTGCAACAATTGAGCTTGCACCTGCATCTGCTGCTGTTTTTGTGCCTGACGTTGGCGATAAAGGTACCGAAGCCTTTCTTGGTGCTCTTCTTCTGTGTCTATTTCAGGCAAATCTTTTGTGTTCATCACCTGATTTAATCGTACCCTAGCAAAGCCTGGTTGAATGGAAGCATTCTGTTGCTGTTGTTGTTGCTGCTGCTGCTGTTGCTGCTGCTGTTGTTGTTGTTGCAGAACTTGTTGATGCTGAAGCATCTGGAAAAACTGCTGCTGTTGAACTCTAATGAGTTGCTCCCTTTGCTGCCGCTGAACGATATCTTGCTGCTGTTGTTGTGGCTGCTGTAGAGAGCTATCTTGTGGCTGACTCAACAAAGATGGGTTAGGATGTTGATTTGGAGCCATCTGAACTGGCAGTTGCGGCAGAGCCTGAAATTGTGTCTGCAGCATACCACCTTGTGAATTTGATGGACCATGTGGCTGGTGGGGCTGAGGAGTCTGTGGGTATGAGGCTACTGGCTGTGGCTGTCCTTGTTGTGGTAACTGGTTTTGCTGCGGCCATCCTGAAGTCAATTCATATGGCTGCAGTGGGCCAGTATGTTGTTGCTGCGTAGATGGTAAGGACGGTGGTGGTAACGGTGGTGGTGGTGGAGGGGGTGGTGGAGGTGGCGGTGCTGAAGGAGCAGGAACAGCTTGAGGTGGATGAAGGTCATGAGCAGCTGCCACTTGCGCTCGAACTTGAGACAGCTCCTCTTGCCAATGCATTACTGGTATTTGTGGAGGGTGTTGCAATTCCACAGCTTGCTGTTGGTGCTGCTCTGAGGTACTGATTGACACTTCATGTTGGGTTGAAAAAGGAAGACCTTGAATGGAATCAGGTACAGAAGGTTGGCGTACAATCTGCCCACTTTCCCTGCTGAGCTGTTGGCCTTGTATTGCTGACTGCGATGAAGGCATTGCAGAAGGGTGTCGATGAGTACTTGGAACCCATGACTGCTGTCTCTCGTCATGGAAAATCATTTGCTCATGAGAACCTAAGTTACCATGAGACTTCTGCTCATCGTGAAGGGCTTCTTGCAAAGGTCTCATATGTTGCTCAGGTAAGGGGACCCTGCTGTGTACATTATCACTTGCTAAGTGATCTTGAAGATTTTCAGGTTGCAGCTCTTCACTGGTCCACAAACTATGCCTCTCAGCTGTACATGTCTGCGAGACTTGGCCTAAACTTAATGAGCCGTTAGGTTGCTTCTGTTGTTCAAGTTGACTGCTAGCCTGTGATTGTTCCCAGAGAGGTTCATCTGTTGTATGGTGAAGCTCTTCTTCCACAGTTTCCTTTCGCCAAACAGAAGGCGGCTGAAATTGATGGTTTGCATCCGTCTGCACCGAATGATATTCACCTTGGTTTGCATTGGGAATTTCATGACTGGAAGTAGCTACACTTGGATCACTTTGTCTTTCTTCTAACAATCCATTCCCTTTTCCATCGTAGTTAACCAAAAATTCCAGTGAGGAATCATTTTGATATTGACTGCTAGATGCTAGAGCATTTGCGTTTGCTCTGGGTGCAGCAGAGAATGAACTTACTACAGGAAGGAATTGCTCGTCCATGCTGTTTTCAGCACCTTCAAGAGATTTCATGCTATTTTGAAATGGAGGTGAACCAAGTACGTCATCTCTAAGGGAACCAGCTCCTGCTTTCTCAGTAGTACGCCCTTGCTCTTTTGGTCCCTGTAAAGGGGCTCGCCTACTACCTTTAGATAAGCGTTTCTTCTTCTGCTCTTCTGGGACCTTAGTTCCTTTAGCTTGCTGTTGTTTTTTAAGCTCTTGCCTAAGTAATACATTTTCCTGTTGCTGCTGTTGCTGTTGACGTTGTTGTTCCAAGGCCCTTCTTTGCTGGAGAATTTTCCATTGCCGTTCTTGTTCCTGCTGAATTCGTAGCTTCTGCTTTCTCATTTCTTTCTCTCGTTCCTTCTCTTCTTTACTTTTCTTACCTTTGGAACTAACAGTTTTACCCGAAGAGGGAAGGCTTCCCACAGATCCTGGAATGACAGGTCCAATTGGTGGGTGACTTAACACTTGAGAAAACGTTGGCGTGGTAGGCGTCGTTGGAGTCAAGGGGCCAGGGGTACCAGGTGTTACTGGAGTGATCGATCTTGCAGGTGTACTAGGTGTTAGAGGTGCTGGCATGACGGTAGTCACAGGAAGTACGGTGCTGTCAACAAGCGGACGAACAGATGCAGATGGTGGTAACTGTTTGAGTTGATGCCCTTGTGAGGAGTTTTGTAAAGGTTGCGAATGCCGCACCAGTTGATGCTGTTGCAGTGGCTGTGGCTGTTGGATGTGCTGCTCCTGCCGCTGCTGCTGCTGTTGTTCCTGTTCCTGTTCCTGTTCCTGCTGTTGCTGTTGCTGCTGTGGTTGTTGTTGTGGCTGCTGCTTCAAAGGAAGTGGCTTCTGAGACTCTGCCTTGGATTTTTCGTCATTTTTTGCAATCAACTAACAAAGGAAAAAAGGATCAAAAAAATTCGTAGAATTTTACTTGAGGAAGACTGACATACAGCGGTACGTCTTCGATTCTTGATAAAACAAAAACAAGTAAAGCCACGAGGTCAACATATTTAACACACTGGCATCATAACGATAATTGAAATATTGAACGGTAGCATTAACTTACTTTTTTCCCTTGATCTTTTAATCTAACACGGTTGTCCCTTGCCTTCAACTGGAAAGTAACGTCACAGTTAATTTTTTCCGTTTTTACAGACAAGTCCTTACATCAATCTTCTTTTACCAATAACTCCACAAATTGCAATTAAGGCAATTACACTGTTACAAAATGTACTGATATACTTCCGATTACACTAATAAAGATCAACAAAGCTTTTTAACGTTTTAATATGACTGTACTGTACAAGCAAGTGAACCCAGACTGATGCCTCTTAGACTAAATGAAGGTTCAAAACACTGCACTGATTTCATTTAGCACCCTCCTTCCAATAAGCACCCCTTATTCTAGAAAATACCCCCTTTCAATAAGCAACCCATTTCCAAAATGGCATTTTAAACATTGACATAGAATAGACTGATTACTACAAGGGTAAGCCCGAAAATTGTACACTGTTTAGACAACAGTGAACTGAAATTTGCCAACGTCCTTTGATGTGCTGGCCAACTTGAAAAGGTTGAGTTTATTAAAAAAAATCCTTATCAAAATTCTGCTTTGGCTCAGTGTTTTAAGGGAATAAAACACAACAAATTACTTATTCACTACTCCAGACTCACCATTTAAGACCACAGGTAGCACATAAGATGTCAGGTAGTGTAAACTTCTTCCATTATTTCATGGAATGGACCATTATTTTTTTGAGGGGGGCGTTCAGTAATTTTCTGGGGCACATTTTTTTTTTGGTGTGCAATAATAGTGCAAGAATTTTTTGAACATCAGAAATAGGACCCAGCTAGTAGAAAGTACTTGCTCGAATTTTTTTCCCCATAGCTCTGCTTGCACCATTTTTTCCAGCAGTTTTTGCTCTGCAGGAATTTTTTGGGAGGAAATTGCCCAACTCCCCCTCAAAAAAATCATGGTCCGTCCCTCAGAGACCCAAGAGATGCTGCTTTTCTTGACAAATAAATTTCAACTTGTATAGTATAAGCTTACTCTGTAAGGATCCCTTTGCTCAACTGACAGTTTCCGCCACAATCTTGCTATTGCTCTGTATCTGTTGGGCCAGTCTGAGAAAAAGTTCGGGAAAGTTAATTTACTTAAAGTGCCCATAATGTCAAAATGTTTTTTTCGCTCGTCTAATTCTACATTTCACCTAATGAACTTCTGCGAAAAAAATTTTCGATTTGGATAAAACGCAATTTTTTTATAAGTTTTTAAAGACGTTAAAATTTGCCGCCATTTTGGTCCACCATTCGCACCAGTCTTCCTTGGTTTGAAGTGAGTCGTGACGTAGGTTCAGGAACACGTGATTTGGGTCATGACTTATCTGACTTGAAAATAAGTGGAAATTTTGCTTCAGAGTTGTCTACATTTAGTTGAAAATGCCGGAAAGGTGCGTTGCCGCTCTTTGTAACAACATTAATGATCCAGAAAACAACATCCGTCTTCATCGTAGGTTCCTGAACCTACGTCACAGGCATCAGTCACGTGGCCATTTTGAGCACGTTATTTTTGTGATCAGCAGCAGGGGTCGACCGCAAGAAAATAGAATTTTGAACTTTGTAAAGATTCGTAAAAAAAAAATGGCGTTTTATCCAAATCGAAACATTTTTTCGCAGAAGCTCATTAGGTGAAATATAGAATTAGATGAGCGAAAAAAAAGTTCTGACATTATGGGCACTTTAACTGCTGAGAAAAAATCGCTACTACTACACTGTTCAAGATATGCAAAATGCACAATGTAGGGTTCTTATGCTGGAGCTGAAACAATTTAGAACTGCAACAATTTTAGGCTTCACTCTGGAGGTGAAAAGGTTAGATAAAAGCAACTGCTATAACTGGAGGGTTTCATTACATTAGTGACATCTTCTCTATACTTTAAATGGAGACTGGGTACTCAAAAGAATAACACGATCAGTTCACTTTTTGTTTCTTTTGCTCACATTCCCTTACCTGGATACTCCTGCTTCAAATTAACATGCTCCAAGTTGGCATAAAGAACTGGTGATATTGTTGCCATGGCACCAAGCTTCTCATCCTCTTCCCACTTCTGCTGCTGTTTCAGTGGGTCTACTCGAGGACTTGGAGGTCTGCGTCGTCCCTTTGGCAGGTCATCCAGATCAAACTCACTTCCTCTTGGGAATACACTGTTCTGATTAAAACCAAGCGGACCTGGTACAACAGAATTGGAGAACCCATCCATGTGGTTTTGAGGTCCCTGCTGAAATCCAGATCTCCCAGAAACACTTTGAAAATGTGCAGCACCAGAGTTGTACGGCTGACTAACAGCAGCTTGGCCATACGCACTAACAGGGTGACCAGATGGAAAACCTACACCATGACTTGATGCAGGGTTGGCACTCTCCTGATTAAATGGCTCTTGAGAATTGGCCACGTTGTTCTCCATTTCAGAATCCAAAAAGTTTAACGCTCTGTTGCTCATTTCTCTCTCAATATCAAGAAATATTTCCTCCACTTCTTGGCCATCAACGTGAGGCAAGACATCTCCTGTACTGCACAGAATATCCAGGTCATTTCCCTGAGGGACCTGTGCTCGGGAGGTGGGCGCAGCTGGAGGAGGATGTTGGGAGGGTGGCTGTGAAAGTACTTTACAAATACAAAAAGAACTTTAAGGTGTTTACAGTGGTCACAGCAGAAGTTAAAAGAAGATCGATGTTAACTATCTCTAGCTGCTACTAAGCACCACTAGCCCAGAGGTTCAAAACAAATGCTAGCAGTATAGATTAGCACACTCTCATTCAAAAAGCAAAACCACAAGCGCAAGCTCTTAAAGATGACCTTTGCTTTGCACCTTGCTATTGTAGACAATTTGTGGTTGAAAATCAGTGCTAACACAAGATGCTGCTACAAGGAATGACTGAGGGGGCAGACTGGACAACATTCTTACCTCTGTTTGTTGAGTGAGGATCGGCCTGAGTAACTGGTAGGTCATCAGTAAGCATATCCAGTGACCTATACAAGGCATCTGGATTGGGAACATCTTCTGCCAAGCTGAGGGCATGTGATGGAAATGGATCTGTCCCAGCAGATTGTTGCCAGCTAACAAAACACAGCACATCCATTTACAAAAACAAAGAAACAGAACTAACAGTTTCATTATACTACAACCTTAAGTGTTGAGTAACTATAGGTATGCCACACACAATGGATGAAAGTGAGATATGTGATGAGATGAGATTTAGGAATATATTTTGATTTGGGAAATCTTTCATGTGGAAGTATTATAGCTACATTTACCACTTCGCCATACTCCTGAGAACATAGAAAGGGTTTACAATCTTAAAACATTACTTCACTTCTTACCTCTCATGCCCACTCAATCCCAAATCGGAGTGATGCTTTTGCGGCAAGGAGTGATTGCCCCTTGGATATCCTGCCTGGTGAAGTCCCTGGTTTGAGTGTTGAGGATGCCGTTGCTCTTCACCAGCCAACATTTGATAAGGAACTTGTCCTGATCCAGCAAAGGAAGCTTCTCTCTCTGGGTGCATGGAACCTTGTCTTGGTGCAAAAGGGTCTTGGTTTGCTCTATCTTCATCTTCAGAAGGAGTTGATGGTGTCTTGCCACCATGCTTTGATCTTTTCTCTCCACCTATAGTGTCCAAGAGCTCTTTGCCAAAAAATGCCTCCTAAAAATTTGTTTGCAAGATATACTACATATAAGAGTGAATCTCCACTTTGGATTGTCCACCTTACATATTGTTATATGTATTTCAAAACAGTGCAATGCTTACAAACTAACTCATAAAGGTAAAACTGCAACAGCACACAGCCTTACCTGCATCCACTTAGGATACGACTCCTTCAGGCCGGTCTCATCACTGCCATCAGCCCAACTGTCATTACTTCCCTGATTGATTGATGGCTCTAACTGGCTGAATGAAGACTGCTTAGTACCAAAGGCTGAACTGTTCAGTCCACCTGGATATGTCTGTTGTACATGTCAAAAGGGGAATACACCAAAAAGATTAAAGTTTACCGACAAACTTCCTAAGTTAAAAGATTCAAAACTTACAAAATAAACACAAGCAGAAAATTCCATCTACATTATCATCACATCAGGTCAGGTCCTATGGATGATTTTAACAGATCTCTCTTTATATAAAATTGTAGTTACTACTTGGTACACTTTAAATAAAAGTTTGTCACAAAGTGAAAAAAAGTGTACACTACATTTTATACCAGAATTTCCAAATCTGAGCACTTGTGCATGGCTAGGAAATCCTTACTGAACCAATCAATCCTCAGCCAACCAATCAATTAGGGATACATGATTAAAACTTCGGATGAAGCAAAGTTCAACACATACCTGTGACAGCTGGCCTCCCAGATTGTTCACATGAGAAGGTCCACGTGCTATAACAGGGAATCCTGGACCTTTCCTCTTGATACCTCCCCGTGCACCACGGCCAAAAAACCTCCTTCCCCCTGAGCCACGACCACGCAACACAAAACCACCAATACCTGGACGTCCAATGTTGGATTGCCTGGGCCTGCTCACCTTAGAAGGAACAAAAGGTGTTTGGCTACTAAGGCTGTCCATGTCATCTGCCAAGTTGATATTATCCTCAATGAGGGCCCTGTTGAAAATGGCATCTTTGCCTTGCAAGTGGTCAGCTAAGGTGTTTCTCTTGAGAGGACTGCCTGGCATACCAAACTTCTTGGGCTTCACCTTGCTCTTAACCACACGCCTTCTGTTGCTTCCTGGGGGTAACTTTAGCCTATTCATGTGCCGCACACCAGACTCAGTCAGTTCAATGTTGTTAGCAGGAAAAGATGCTGTCATCTGCATTTTATTGAAGTGGTTGGATAACCTCACTTCCACTAAATTGTTGTTTACCCGCTGACAAGGATGCAATGGTTTCCCATTTGGTTGAGAGCTGTTGGGTTCATACAAAGACGGAGGCCTATAGTGATGCAAAGCTGTTGCCTTGGGTGATGGAGGACCTGTACAGAAATGGACAGAAGACAATGATATAGAAAAAGGGAATCTCAAACGTTACCAAGCAGAGCATGGTTTCAATACTTGTACAGAAGTAGGTCTATAACTACTACTATGACCATTTTTACGATTCACATTGACTCAAGTCTTCTAGTTTAAATACCGCTGAGGCCATAGTGAATGTCACTTCTTGCCTTGCCAAGTGTAAGCTCTAGATGTCACTTTCGTAACAACTATTATGCATTTGAGACTGTACATTACCCAATTAAGAGGCATTCAAGCCAGGTCCATCTTTGACCAAAGTTCTACTGTCACAAAAAAATAATTTTTCTTCAATTCCAGGGGCTACATCTACATCAATTTAACAGCAATTTGTTTGAATAGTCAAGGATTCTTTTCAAATGGTGTCTGTTTAAATGAAGTTGTCTATATAACTGACTCTGATCCCCTGGAATCCTTCTGTGCTTTGAAGACCAACAATAGAAACATAAACATTCGGGGTGTAATTTTAAATATACTTTCTCATGAATTTTGTTACATCTTGGTGGTATTGCCAACATTGTAACACACTGGCTCTTGTACTCACTACAACTGTATGAAAAAGAAGGGAACAGTTTAGGAGTGAATCTAATGTATGTTAAGCCAGTTGTTCAAAATGTTCCTCAAAAACTTGGTTCCTTGCAAGTTGTTTGAAACCTTTGGCAGCAACACACTGGTTTTCTATGGGCATTTGTCTCTTCTTTATAACTTTAGCCTATTCATGTGCCTATTCATGTTAACAACAGATAACCATAGAAATTATGAAACTTTAGAGGTCGATGCACTTTTTAAGTGAGACTTGGCAATGAAATGACATGAAATGATTAAGGGCTCTAGCTACATGTTCAAGTCAACACACAGAGGAAAAGAAACATTTAAGCAGTGCATACAGTCCAGACCCAGAATTGCTAGGTAAAATATAACAAGATCAAAGAGTAAAGAATTGAAGAACAGATTTAGTTTAAACACCCTCCACATCAGCAAATTTGTGCAGTAAGTGCAAAGCCAGACTAGCCAATTTATCAAACCTAAGTGTCTCTCTGTTTATTGTTTTTATTTGGTGCCTTCAACCTTTTTACACAGTACCAACATTAATCAAACTGCCAGAAGTTACATTCACAAAAATCAAACTATCTAGTACAAATTTGACATTTTTGCCAGTGTATCATGCATGTGATGCTAGAACATTCCAAGAAACAGTGTCCATTTAAAGTCATTGTTCTAATCTGCCATAGATAAACGAAATGTTAGAAAGCAGAAAAACTGTTACAGTTCAAAAGTGCTGGGCTGTATATGAATTTTGCACACATTAATTTTTTCAACAGAAAATTCAGTAAAGGCAGTAAAACCAGAAACAAAAAGCTTCAGTCTACTTTTTTTTAACTCGCTTGAAAATTAGCTTTTTGCACTTCTTAGCATTTCTTGTCATCAAAATGTTTCCTGGTTCTACTTCCCTGACAATTTTAGAGACACGTTTGTATTTGGGTTGCAATGTAATAAAAGAAGCAAAACAGTCCCGTTGCTGTGATAAGTGCAGTGTGGAGGGCATTTTGAAGAGTGCACAGTGACGTACTTACTAACCGTGCAGAGTATTAGTTCCAGCACAAGATAAGAAGGAGAGGAAAGGTTGGGAAGCAGATGGAGTTCTACAAGACATACCACTGACACCAACAAGCGCACGCTTGGTTTTTGGCCGACAATACAAACAGTGATATCCATATTCTGCAGCTCGATCAAGTTCTTCCTCATTAACAAGGCCATCACATGAGCCATGGAGCCATCTACAAAATAAAAAAGTAAGTAAGGCTTCTTTGTTACTGTAACTTGTATTACCTCATCAGAAACACGCTATACACATTTTCAGTTTTGATGGCAAACACCCAGAACATACATATATGTTATTTGCCGGCTGGGAGGTCCGTATGGTGAAAAACTGTGACTGAGACCTTGAAAATGCTGCCCGAGGCCGCAGGCCGAGGGCAGCATTTTCAAGCCCGAGGTCACAGTTTTTCACTGATTGGACCGACCCTAGGCCGGCAAATAACATGTTTATTTTTTTCTCCTACAGTAAATTGGTTTTACAGATTACAAATGGGTTAGTTTATGCAACTCTTGTCACTGAATCGGCTTCCGCGCCATCTTCTAACGATTTGTAAAAAATCTCGGCAACGAGCAAGGAACTCAGGTAGTAGACAAAGAAAGATGCATTAAAGAACAGATTTTTTTTCGAACTACTGTATGTTTGCTGCATTTATTTCACCAGTTAAGTTCTCCAAAATTGTTTTTGCGGTGTGAAATTTCATGCGAAGTTTGAAGTTTTACTACAAAAACAATTTCTGTCAGTCGTTGCTTTTAAAATCACTTGAAATCAGACTTTTCTACCATAAATTGAATAGCAGAAAGAGAGGAAATTCGTTAAGTGTATTCCACAGAAATTCTCCTAAATACAGCAACGATCAGAGGTAAACTTGACTGAAAATGACTCAAATTTTATGGCGAGAGAAACACAGGATTACGCGCCATTACAGTGCCAAGCTAGAAACAACTAAGCAAACTCTCACAACTTCAAAACACTCAATTGAATTTACTTACAGTGACTTTCCTTCCCATTCTAAAGGGAACAGAGATAAAGTTGCGTTGACTGATCGTCGATGGAAGTATAAAAAAGGCAAAAGATTGACAATTACCACCAACTTTAAGGAGCGAAATTTAGGCAGCGAAGAAAAAATCCAGCCCATGGGCCATATCGTAAAAAGCTGGACCGGTCACATGTGTATGATTAGCCAATCAAATTCGAGGATTTAGGAATCCGGCCCGCTCAGATACTTGAGAAAAAAATAACCCATATTTTCATAAAAAATGTTCATACCTCTCACAGTGTGCACACTGTATCATGAGGTCATTGGTGTTGTACTTGATTTTGCAGACGGGACACACTGTTTTACTCGCACATGGACCACACTGTGTGTAGTTTGACATCCACTGACAGCCAACTCCTGGTGTAGTAGCTCCGCAATCAAAGCACGTCACACACCTGACAAACAAAACAATACAGTTGATAACCCAAACAACATACACATACCAAAGCAAGCATAATTTTCCACTGGCTGAGTGAAACAAATGAGTGAAATTGTTTTTCTCATGCACCACCAGGTCCTGGGAAGAAATCATGTGACCATAGGCAGGCAGTTGTTTTTTTTAAGGCTGCTGCACACTAGCCGATTTTTTGTCGAGTTCAAATCGGGTTAATCAGCTTAACACACACTAGCCAATTTTCTGTCGCGGCTAACCACATTGAGGCTTGGGGCTTTCATCCAAAATCAAGACGGCACTTATTCCACTGACATGATTCTCGTGACATTTCCTAATTGGTTGAGGTGCGTGCAAGCCCTGACAAATTGTCTGGGTCCATCGCACACTAGCTGACAAGGACCGACAAGACGTTTTTGAGATCTAGCACTGTCAGATATCGCCCGACAAGCCCCGCTACTGTCGCAGACTTGTCTGAATTCACCGTACACTAGCCAACAAGTGAAGATTTTTTGTCGGCCGACAAAAAAATCGGCTACTGTGCAGTGGCCTTTAGCATCATCCATTACTGACCTTTTCTCACCCACCCACATCAAGATTTCAAGTTAGTACTTAAATATTTTTACCTAGCTTGCATCTACAAACCTCGCCATTTGTGAAATTTTGAAATTTTCAGTACCTGTGCACTGTTTTGTTCAATTTGCAATAAAGATCCGGTTGTGGTGGCTGCCTAACAGTGGGGTGCCAGAGCAACCATTTTACCAGTGACTCACCATTTACATTTCCATCCACCCTGAGGAACATGTCCTAGTGGAGGATCAAGGCAATAGGTATGATACGAGATGTCGCAGCTGTCACAGAGTAACAGACGTGCTTCATCGCTTCCTTTACCACAGCCCTCACAAAGAGTGCAATCCAGGCAACGCCAACCTTTTGTTAAAATCACTTTGTTAATCTGTGAGAAAACAAACATTTGTTACTTTTTCTTCAAGGTCTAGTAAAAAGGGCACCATTCCTGTAATCCAGAAGTACCAGGTGTGAGCCCTCCACAATATCACTAACTTTATTTGCCTTAGGTAGTCAAAAGTTCAATTCTATGACAGCAACTTCGTAAAGAGCCAAATCTTCCCTCTCCTCCCATCTCAAATTCTTACCCATGCTACATCTAGTGAAACATTAGCTTCCCCAGTTTAAGGGCATACCTGCAAACTTACTCAGAGGGCAGCACATATCCACTAGAATTACATATGACATGTGAACTACTTTTTGAATAGCCAAAGGTAGTTTACAAAATGTATATTTTCACCTTTAAAAGCTAGGACAATTGAACTTTGGACAAGACTTATTTGTTTTGTTTTTTCCTAGAGGCAGCCCATCACCACCATGATTTGAAACAATACTTCAATTATCTTTCCAATATTTTTCCAGTGTTTACTTTCAGAAGCAGTGAAAAAAAGTCTTGAAAACACAAAAATTGAACAAACAATAACAAATTGAAGCGGTGTTTATGTTTTCTTTTCCTTTCTTGTTTGCACATGGGTGTTATAATTCTAGGGAGGTTAGACAAGAGGAAAAGTAACCATTTAAGGTTGGAGTGGCTGCAATGTAGCACTTAAACCACCCCAACAAAAGTTCTGAAAATCATTTTTCCTCTTGAATGGGAGTATATTACCTTGACACCAACACAGTAGGGGTGGTAAGATTGGCCGCACTGTGAACACATTATTAGCTGTCCCTCTGGACCCTTGCCAAAACTGCCACAACACAGACACATGTCTTGTTTAGTGGTGAATTCATCATTAGCTGAGAATAGTACAAGAGTTGTGTGCAGGCTTTCAGATTCATCTCCCTTGCTTGTGTGGTCTGTCACATTGGCAGCTTTGGGCTGTAGATAAAGAGTACTCCACTTACTACAGACTAATGCAACAACACAAGGGCCATAAAAGAGTATGTGTGTGTTTAAATAGAAAAATCATGGTCTTAACATGGCTTGTAGCCAAGAGTATGGCTGAACTAGGTTGTTGAGTGATTGATGTGAAGAGCTTACAATCCAAACATTAAGCCAAACAGAGGTATCTCAACTCACAACATTCTTGTTTTCATTTCAACAACATCACTTGAGGTTCAGTGAGAACTGATAAAAATAACATGTTTAACTCACCACATTCTCCTTTCCAGGTGATGTCTGAGGCATTGCTTTGTTTTTTAGTTTACTAGGTGGACGACCTGGACCTGGTTTACCATGCTTTGATTTCTTCCGTGCAGGAGTCCCACCAGACTTGGACTGCAGAAGGAAACACACAGAATCAACTCAATGGAAACCACTGAAGAGTTGTGTATTTTGATTTCAACTGACTTTCTAAAAGATGATTGAAATTTTCAGCCATTAAAGTTGTGGCCTGGAATCTTACTTGAGGTTCTAATTTCAACCTCCCCAAACCAAGGGGAGCTGCACCACCTTGGAAAGGATATGTTCCACCAGAAGACAATTAGAGAGGATTGACTACTCACTCAGACACATCCCTCAAGGAACAGTTGCCAGTTGTCAGTCTCACTATGCCAATTCTAACTTTGCCCATATAATTAAGCCCTTTCACTAACAAGGAGTCCACTTGTTTGGGAGAGGGGGTTGATAGTGCATACTTTTTTTATAAGTACATGAACAAACCTTTAGTTTACTAGTCAGCTTTCTCTTTCCTGGTAACTTTGGAGGTGTAATTAGTGAGTGACGAGGTTGATAATAACTTGGAGGTGGAGCTTTAGGAACTGACAGATGTCTGTCCATCAACTGACTAGCTACAGAGAAGGATGGTAATGAGCATGCCTCTGACAGGCTAGCAGCTGATGATAACATGTCCAGTTCATCAGACTTCACAACTTCCATTTCCTCATCCAGTGGTAATTTCTCACTTAATGGCAACTTCTCAGGCATAATGTTATCAAGGTTTGGCATTGGAATTGTCTCTGTATCATCAGGAACAGGATCAAAAGGCCGCAGGGCATTCAAGTGAGAATCAAGAAGAAGGTCCTCGTCCTCGTTGCAAGGGCTCATACGACCTGCCATTGTCAGTGTGCGCTTGTCTTCTTCTGGTGGACAGCCCAAGTTCATGTCCATGACACTATGCGGTTCATCAAATCCAAGATCAATTCCATGATTCTTGTCCTAAAAACACCAACATAAATAATGGTTTGAAGTGACATCTCAAAATATAATTTGAATAACTAATAGATACTAGGGATTAGCCTTGACAAACCAACAAATAGTACCAGGTGTATTGTGATCATCTCATCCCAAAGCGGGAATGCCATCTCAAGATTGCATTTAGTTTGTAGTAACAATGCAAGAAATGGAAAGAAATAGAAACTGAACAGGGCTTCGAAATATGGCCAAAGTAACCCAACACTGACTTGAAACGGGTAAATAGAGGAAAACAACACAGGAAGGTTCTGGGAAATTCAAGAAAAAAAAGAATAAATCAAAATACCACTTACCAAAAGTTGCAGTGAACCCTTCTTTGGCTTGCAGTTAGGGCAGAAGTATGGCAGATCTTTGGAGTTGTACTTTTGATATTCATCCTTGTCAATGTTATCACAGCTAGCATGGACCCACTTCTCACAGGAAAGACACTGCACCATGGCAACATCAGTAAACTGTCTGTAAGCCCTTCCGCATAATGGGCAAAACAGACCCTTGTTGCGTTGTTGATAGCAACTGTCACACACAGAGAAGTTGTGGTGCCAGCGAGAAGTAGGTCCACCCCCAGGGGTATTTGAGCCACAGTCTTCACATCGACGGCAGCCCTACAAAAAAAGAGAACTTTTGTTCACTAAATGGTAGCTTTAAATAATACACACTTCAGGTGGCTCCCTATAGTTTTACGATCACACGAACGCTGAGGAAGTAATCTGCGCGCGCTCAAAGGAAAATGTCAGTGTTTTTCGATATTTTATTACATCAACATGAGCACAAAAAGCAAAACTGAAAGTGAATTTTATCGCGTTTCCTTCAGTGAAATTCCGTTAAATTTGGCAGATTGGTAGTAAATATTTTACTTTAGTCGGAGCTCGTTTTTCAGGGAAATCTATAA